CTGCTGGAGCGTGATGGCAACGGTGGTGTTGGGGGCAGTGGTATTGGTTTTGGTGGCGGGCGGGGCGGAGGCTTGAAGTGTTCCGGCATCCAATGGGGAGCGGGGCTGACAGGTCAGCGGGCGGATCTGGCCCCCTCAAAGCAGCTGGCAGCTGCAACAACCCTAGCCCTGCCCAGCTTGCGACAAGCAGACCCGCTGCGCGCGCCGCACCCTCGTCTCCGCTGCTCCCCTCCCCTCACCCAAGCCAGCCCACCCCCTGCTGGACCCCAACCGCAGGACTTCCCCGACTGGAGCTACGACGGCTCCTCCACCGGCCAGGCCGAGGGCAACAACAGCGACTGCATCGTGCGCCCCGTCCGCGTCGTCCCCGACCCCATCCGCGGCGCCCCCCACCTGCTGATCATGACGGAGGTGCTCAACCCCGACGGCACCCCGCACGCCACCAACACGCGCTCCCCCCTGGCGGCCCTCATCGACGACAAGGTCATCGCTGAGGCCCCCCTCTTCGGCTTTGAGCAGGAGGTGCGGCCCTGGTGGGGCATGGGGGGGGGTTGAGGACGGGGTGGCAGTTGCAGAGGTGGTGGTGACAATAACGGTAGGGCGGATTTGAAGCGGACGTGACACCCGCCAGGTAGCAGGGCTGTGCACTGCAGCTTGGAAACGCCGGTCGCCTGGCTACGGCCGAGCCAGTGATGCTGCTGAACCCACTCGGCACCAGGAGGCCGCGCCGGCGCCTCACCCGCGCCCCCCCCCAAACACCCTCCGCGCGCAGTACACCATGCTGAAGCCCAACAGCACCGCCGTGCTGGGCTGGCCCGAGGGCGGCTACCCCGCCCCCCAGGGCCCCTTCTACTGCGCCGTGGGTGTGAACAGCGTGTACGGCCGCCCCCTGGCCGAGGCCCACATGGAGGCCTGCCTGGCCGCCGGCCTCACCATCAGCGGCATCAACGCCGAGGTCATGCCCGGGCAGTGGGAGTTCCAGATCGGCCCGGTGGGCCCCCTGGAGGTGGGCGACGAGGTGCACCTGGCGCGCTGGCTGCTGCACCGCCTGGGTGAGGACTACGGCATCAGCTGCACCTTCCACCCCAAGCCCATGAAGGTGGGCGCGCTCTGGTTTTTTGGGGGGGGGTGTTTGAGGGGGTTGTGGGGCGGGCGGTGGTATGGAGGGGTGCTGCACAACCGGACCGGTCATGAGCACAGGGGGGTTGACTGCACGTGTGGTAGACGGCCGTCAGGGGCCGGGACAGCGGTCGGGCAAGGGATGGAGGACGCTCGGGCTGCTGTGCAGCTGAGGACTGAGGCAGTCCCGTGTGCCCTCGGCCCCCTCACGCCCCACCTCCCGGCCCGCGCGCCGCTGTGGCGCTCCCCTCGCGCAGGGCGACTGGAACGGCACCGGCGCGCACACCAACTACTCTACCGAGAGCATGCGCAACCCAGGCGGCATGGACGTGATCCTGTCTGCCATTGAGAAGCTGTCCAAGACGCACGCGGAGCACATCAGCCAGTACGGCACCGGCAACGAGGCGCGCCTGACCGGCAAGCACGAGACCTGCGACATGAACACCTTCAGGTGCGCGGGGTGACGCGGGCGTGGACGCATGTATGTACAAATGCTGGCCGGTGTGCTGTGTGTGCGCATGCTCGCACACGCACACATTCATGCGTGAGTGCCGCTGTATTATGGCTGCAAGCTGCTGGGCAGACCCAAGGGTGTTCAAAAACAGCAAAAAGTTGCAGTGAAGCAGGAGCGGTTCGCAGCTGCGCTCGCCAGGAGGAGACGCATGTGCTGCCTGCTGCAGGACGCCACGCCTCATTTTGCTACAAGTCGTGTCCTCACCCCCCACCCAGCAACCCACCCCTCGGCTGCCCCACCCCACCCCAAATCCTCCTCAGGTACGGTGTTGCGGACCGCGGCAGCTCCATCCGCATCCCCCTGCCCGTGCAGCTCAAGGGCTACGGCTACCTCGAGGACCGCAGGCCCGCGGCCAACGTCGACCCCTACACCGGTGAGGCGCAGCGGCGCATGCCGCGCTGCGCTGGCGTGACGTGCAGGCGCCCAGGGCCAGGGGTGGTTGGCTGAGCCTGGGATGGCAACGGCTTGGTGGATCTGCGCTGCCATCTTCTGTGGTGCCAGGGGCACCTGGTCTGCTGGGCAGCGGGCGGTCAGGCGGGTGTCAGGGGATAACCCCTTGCAGCTGCTTCGCTGGGTTGAACTGGCACATCGCGCCACTCCTGCAACTGGCCTGCCATCTTTGCTGACCTGGCGCTCTCATTACCCGCCCTCCACTCCCCGTGCACAGTCGCTCGCCTGCTGATCAAGGTGTGTGAACGTTGCACGATTGTGATGTCGATCATCGCGCTGTCGTGCTATGTTGGTGTCAGGGGTGGGGTCAGTGCAATGCAGTTCAGCCAGAGCTGGGTGGGCTGTCAGCTGTGATTGACGCATCACTGAACAGCAATCACACTCTCGCCTGGCTTGCTGCAGGGCACCTACATTACACGCGCGCGCACACCCTCACTCACACGCACACACTTTGGCATATGCTAACACACACTCGCACGACCGCTGGTGCATGTTTCCACCCTCACAGACCACCCTCAAGTAGACGGCTTTGAGCAGCGGCATGGGGATGGATGACTGGCGGACGAATGACGGACGGGCGCGTGCCAGGCAGCGCCCTGAGGCGGCGGCGGCAGCCCCGGGGCCCTGTGGCGTGTCCCTCTCGTGACAGGCGTCCCCGCACCGCCGCCCCCGCTTTTGCTGGAGCCTGCCGTGCTGGGTGGGGCGGCAAGGATGGGTGGCGCGTGGCGCGGCATGGGGCGATCAGGCCTCCTGCCTGGTCGCCCCAGGCCGCCTTTGTGCGGCGGCAGTGCTGACAGAGCGGTTCCCCCCGACCAAAGCGAACCAATTTAGCCACTCACACACTGGCACCACGCGACCGGGACTCAGCGTGGCGCCCTTGGCCAATGCGCCGGGCATGCCGTGCCCTTTTTTGTCAGCAGCAACGATGGGTTTCCCCCCAAACATGTACCTTGATTCGCCCAAGCTGCATGCGGCGTGGGCAATGTGCCCCGCTTCATGTTTGTGTAAACACTTGCCTGGGCCAAGACACTGTGTGGTGGGAGGTCTCACGGGAGGTGGCAGGGGAAATGATTGGGTGGTGATGTGTGTGTTTGTGTGCGTGTGTGTGTGTGTGTGAGTAAATGTTCTGTGATCCTGTGATCTCTTAAGAGTTGTGCAGAGGGGGTGGCAGCGGCAGGCGTACGGTCAAATGGGAACATGTGCGCAGATGGCATGTGCCAAGAGCGGTCTGCAGCGCCCTGGACTACCGGACCAGTCTGCACATGCGCACTGATGCCAGGCCTCTGGCGACAGTGAGGTGCGACCAGGCAGGTGTCACGGCTGCATCGAGGTTGCCAGGCCCAGGCCCACAGGCGCTTTCTGAAACCGCATCGCCGTTTGCTCAAATGTTACAAGTCTGCAGGGGCTGCAAGGCAGTGGTGCACGCCTGCAGTGCTCCAAACTGGGCGGCTCAAAATCCACTACCGCTCAAGGCGGCGGGTCAAGCCGACATTCCCTCGAACCCGACCACTGTGGGCAGCTCGGGGCTGCAACCGATCGCTCTGGTAGAAACAGGGAGCTCCTCTCAACAATAAGGCTTGCAGGCAACTACATGCGCCAAGAACGCCACACACGAGCCTGAATAAGGCCCCCCAGAATGCTAGAGGTGCAGGCACAGGCCCGCCCAACCCCACGCAGAGCAGGCGCCAACCTTCGGAAACAAAAGCCTGCTGACAGGATGTCATGTCATGCCATATTGGTTCCCGCAAAGAAGCTAATGCGCCGCAAAGAAGACATTGTGTCGGTCGGTGCTGCTCCTTGAAATATGGTAGAAAACAGAGTGCTGTTGCCAGGCGGGGAGGGCTGGCTGGGCAGCCGATGCACATGTGTGCACGAGGGACCCATTAGGCCGCAAGGGCGGCACCGGTAACGCGTGTCGCAGCGCCACCATGCTTTCAGGGTCGTCCGGGGTGAGGTGGTGGACTGCGGCCTCTGCCGCCCAGGCTGCTTAAAAAAGCATGCGTAGAGGGCGCTTGCTGTTCGCCAACAGCCTGCCCGCCGCCACGCATGAGCAAACAGCACAAGGAGCGGCTCAAAATCGCTGGGCGGCAACTACACAGGCCGCACTCTTCTGGAGCCAGCGCTTCCAGGGCTCAATTCAGTGCCACTGGGTCTATTGCAAGGCCGCAGGTGCGCTCCCAGTCCCGCCGTGGGGTGCACACGCCCACATCAAAACGAGCGACTGTTGAGCAGCACACGCAGTGGCAATGCAGCGCGCCGCTCCCAAGCAGAGCGTAGAAGCCACACCTGCCCGCTGTAGGGGCCCACGTGGCCGGGCTAGCCCCTGCCCTGCTCCCCCGACCCGCACAACACGGCCGTCCATTAGAGCCTGGGGCAGGCCTTCCGGCAGCAGGGTGCCCCGCCGTAGTGGAGCCGCCGCAAGCAGGGACGGCTCCGTGCCAGGAGGCGCGGCGAGGGCTGGGTCCTTGTGGAGCACGTCCCCAGTGACGCCTTCCCGAAGGGCGATGTGCCCTGAATATGGCACACACTCACACAGGGGTCATCCGCCTCCTGTGCACGCTGTGTTGGCCATCGCAGCCCGGGCTCGACCCGCTCGCTAATCAGGGTAGCTATGGTGAGGGCGCCGCCTCGGTCCTTGCAGGCTGCTCTGCGTGCGCGTCTTGATCGGCCCGCGTGCCGCCGCTGCTGTTGCTGCTACTGCTCTCTGCGCTGCTCCTGCTGCCGCTGCTGGCGACGCTGGCCGCCCGGTCTCTGCCAGCCTGCTCCCCCTCTCCAGCCGTCACCACCACCACCACAGCGGCGATCAACCCGCCGTCCTTGCCCTCGCCGCCGCCGCTCTCGGATCCCGCCGCAGCCGCCGTCTTGGCGGCGACCGCCGCCGCCAGCTTGCCCGCCTCACCCGCGGCGAGGGCGTCTCCCGCAGTGCCTGGCGCCGCCCCCACCGCGGTCGCATGCACGCCGGCTGCGGCGGGTGCTGCTGCTCGCGGGTCTCGGCGCATGAAAAACACCGGGGGCGCCTGGGGTGTCACCCTGTACGCCTCGTAGGCGGCAAACCCGTGGCGCTCGTACAGCCCCCGGCTCTTCTCGCTGGTCGCCTCCAGCAGGCACATGCGCCCCTCTGCGTCGGCGCGCGCCGTGATGCAGCGCATTAGGACCGACGCGTAGCCCTTGCCGCGCGCGGCGGGCGCGGTGCCGATGAACGAGAGGTAGTAGTAGGCGCCGCTGGGGGCGGTGGCGGCCTCGCGCGCGTGGGCTGCCTCGTAGCGCAGCTCCAGCGCGATCAGCGCCGGCCACAGGCGCAGCGGAACGCGGAAGATCCTTTGGGGGCCGTGGAAGGGTTTGCAGAAAGTGCGTGAGCTTGCGCGTTTGTGTGCATGCGTGCATGTGTGTGTGACAATGGATGCATGGAGTTGACAGCAGCGCCCTGGCACTAACATCCTGACGACCATGCCAGGGCAGCCGACTTACCACGGCACGATCATGCAACGGCCCCCGGTAAACTCTCCGACCTTGTGACCAGCGGCATGCCGCTTCGACCCACCTCCTTGCGCCTCCTCCCTCACCCATGCCCGACAGACCACACACACACACACACACACACACACACACACACACACACACACACAAACACACACACACACACATCCACCCCCCCCACACAAACCTGGTCCAGCCGGCCAGGAGCTCGTTGCGCGGTGTCTCCTCAGGCAGCAGCTGCCATAGCGCCACCGCGGCGGCGTCGCGTGTCGCGATGAAGTGGGCTGCCCTGGGCAGAGCCTTCAGATACCTGCCAGGGCCGGGGGGGGGGGGGATGCCAGGGCTGAGGGGGGAGTCGCAGGTGCCACACGTTGGGGTCGGGAGCGTCAATCACGCTAAGAGCTTCCGCGGCCCTCGGAAGTCACAATTCAATTATCAGCGGTGCTACCACCCTGCTCTTGCGGCCTTGCTGCGTGCAGCCGTCATTGGCAGCACCCCTGTGCGGCACCCATCATGCAGCACACTGCAGTGGCCCTCGCCGCCACGCTCCTCGCACGGCGCACCCACCCCTTGATCTCCTTGCGCGCAAACTTCTCCTGCCGCCGGCCCCCCAGAAAGAAAGCGTTGACGGGGTCCTCAGCCATGGCCGCCACAAGTGTCTCCATTGCCGCCACCGTCGTCGCCCTGTGCCCCTTATCGGCCCAGTTGAACGATACCACATCGGCGCCTGCGCCGCCCGGCGGCGCTGACAAGAAGCTCGCAGCGCTGTCGGGCCGACCCAGGAGCGCAGCTGTGCCGTGCAGCTGCGGCGACGGCGCGGCGCCGAGGCGGCTCGGCGCGCGCGCCGCCGCGGCGGGCGCGCGTGGGGGCGCCGGCGGTTGGTGGGGCGCGTCGCTGCCGCAGTCCGAAGAGGGGCCGCTGCTGCCGCCCAGGCTGCTGGGCGCGCTACTTGTCAGGGCACCGCCGACTGAGCTTCCATGACCGGGATCACAAGGGGACAAGGGAGTCATCTCAGCCGCCGTCACATAGCCAGCCAACACAGTACAGTGCTTGGAGGGCGCCGCAGACGCGGAGGGGCAGCGGGGATGTCCCGTCTCGGCCGTGGAGGCAGTCAGCACTGCCGCGGCCGCCGGCCCGCCAGCCCCGCCAATGGCGCCATGTTGTGGCGCCCTCCAGGGTTTATTCGGTTCGCCGGCGTCTTCACCGCCGGCTGGGGACTCGGACGCTGATTCGCGTGCACCACTGCCGTTGGTACTGTGCGCGCCGGCCTCGGCGACGATGGCAGCACAAAGCGTTGCCATGTTTGCTTCTTGCCGACGGAGATTTTGGACCTGGAAGGTCGTGGAAGGAGGTGTTAATAGAGTTCACCACGTGTACAGCTGTCAGAGTGGAAAGCCCGCCCTCGGTTGCTAATTGAGACGGACCTGCCATGCTATGAGCAGTAAACCTGCAAGCTATAACACTTTAAATGCAAAAAACATCTATATTCCAATCTTACGTCGCCTGGAGCTGCCCCCCATAGCGGCAGCAGCAGCTGCTGTTTTTCGGACACCGACCCTCTCCCTGCGCGGCTCTCACCTGCACACGGTGTCTACTACAACGAATGATCAACTTCCTCTTCTTTCAGCTTCCTGAAGCAGCTTTTTATGAATGGTCTGAGACACTCTGCACTCCGGGCCCCTTGCAGGTGTTTGATTAGCTCGAACTTGGACAAAATTATCGAATGGTTAGTATTCAGCTTTTGGTACGCTCACGCACACGTGGGAAGGATAAGCGCACCGAAGCGCAAGGTTGAGAAGCCACTGGGCAGTTCTTCAGCTGCTGTTGACGCTGCGAGGGGTGCCGGGTGCGGCCCAGATGGTCCAACGTGCTGGCTGCGTCCTGAATGACTGATGCGGACGATGTTTCACTGCAACAATAGGCCATTTGCTGCCACTGAGTTCAGCTCCAATGTCAACCCAAAGTAGGAAGTACAGTACCTTCATTTGACGGGCCCTAGTCCCAGCTACACCTGTCGCACACTGCTCCGATTTGTTTACTTGGTGGCGCGTGCTACTATCCCATCCAGCGCACCCGCCATGAGCCGGCAGTGTGGCACCGTCTGAGCAGCGCACCGTGTGCTGGGGGCCTGCCCGTCACCTATGAAAAGCACGCGCTTTGCATGAAAAGCGAAAACGGTCGTCTGCTGTGCCTCGTAAACAAAAAGTGTGGTTGCAGCCTCCTCGCGAGCCGTTCCGCATGAAGACCTTTGGCCTTCCAGGCATCATGGGCCCATGCACGCAATCCCCACTGACTAGGCCAGCGTGCGTGCTGCCGCTGCGTCGACCGGCTGCCTCCGCTGGTTAGATGCCAACAGGGGCCGCCTCGGCGAGCCAGCACTCCTGCTGCAAAGCGGCGCCGCGTGGCCCTTGCCGCGCGGCATGCGCGCC